CGTTTCATATATTCGACATCGACCACCCTAGAGTCAGTCTCATATAGGGTTATCTTCATATGACTTCTATGAATGGATGCCTTGTTCGAAGCGAGAAATCAAGTTGTCTTTACTCAGTACCGGTACCGTTTACGGTTAGGCATAACATGGAGGAAGAAAATATGGGCATAATCGTCATTCGAATACGCTAGACGTGTGGTATTATTAATATTAGGCCCTATAATACATGTTCTTATAACAATAAAATATGTTTTCATCAGGAGCAGATAAAACGAAATAAATAAATAATATTATGCTCTATAGTAGTCAGTCCCATAACAAAATAATGCGTTCAATTCCATTCAATCTGTTTAAACGGTTAGGCATAATCGTCATTCGAATACTCTAGACGTGTGGTATTATTAATTTTTTAATACATTTTCTTATAATAATAAAACATGTTTTCATATCAGGAACGAAATAAATAAATATTATGCTCTACAGCAGGTAACACAATAATGCGTACGATTAATTCCATTAAATTTGTTTAAACGGTTAAGCATAATTGTCATTCAAATACATTAGACGTGTGGCATTATTAATATTTTAATGCATGTTCTTATGATAAAAAAATGTTTTTATATCAGAAGTTGGTAACGAAATAAATAAATATTATGCTCTACAGCAGTCAGTCTCAATTCCATTCAGTTTGTTAAACGGTTAGGCATAATCGTCATTTTTTGCGACACATGATGAATGTTGTCGACAGATTATCAAAATCACCTATCAACGTTACTTAGCAATATATCACCTTTGGAACGAAAGTTAACTGCAATCCAATACAGTACAGTACACAGTAATCGTTTAAGAGTCCTCTGCAGTGACAATGACCTCATTTTACTAACCCGGACATAATCATTACAGAAAGATTCCAGCATTAAAATTTGAAACAAGAAACTGGTACTATGTTTGTAAAATATATGTTATATATAATAAGTATACAAAGAAATAGATTTTCTCAGAACTTGACTATTTTGAAATATATACCGTATTTATTCAAATAAACGTCCCGCTTCGAATAAACTCCCCCATCGAATGTATAAACGCCCCCTTCTAGAGCCTCATTTGGGAATAAACGCCTCCTTGAAATAAACGACCCAAGGGGTTTTTGTTTTACTCGAACAAACGGTCCCAAATGACTAAACAAACCTAATGGAAGCAACATCATTCTCAACACATAGTATTGACGTTTTACTCTAGTAGAATTACATTTTTTAAAACCTGGTTGGGAAGTTTTTATGATCACGCAATAACACATTTTGTTGTAGCTTACAGTGGAATTAATTTGAGTATGCGTTTATTTGAGTATACGTATCCATTTTACACCACGAAAAAAAAAATAAACGTCTCCATCGAATAAACGCCCCTCAAAAACCCTTCTCAACAATAAACTCCGCGGGGCGTTTGTTCGAATAAACACGCAATGAAGGTGCAAGCGTCCGAAATATGGGGGAAGGGGTGCAAGTGAGGGGAAAGGTACAATTTTTTATGGGGTGTGGGGGCCAAGGTTCCCGACGAGAGCAAAGTGGGTGTTTTCGGATGTCAAATAAAATGGAAAATATGAAAATTTAGGTGTTTCAGGGGCTTATTGAATCGATTTTACATATAATATGTAGAAAATACATATAAGTTTTACCTCCCCGACAGATTGTGATTTTTCTTTTTTTCTTGGTGGGGGGGGGGGGTGTGAAAGGAAATTTTCTGGGGAAATGCGCACGTCCCCACCCCCACGTAGCACCGTACTGTAAATACTGTATTTTAAAAATCGACATTTTGGGAACACTACAAATTGAGGTTATACCAATGGCTTAACGAAGTGGCCTGGCACCCCCGCCGGCTAAGGGTTTTTCGGGACCTCTATTATTTGTACCGAAAACATAAATTATATATCGGTAATAGGCCTATATAATAATGGAATGTATTATACTGCATATATATAGGCCTGATATACAGCATAGGCCACATACATATTATGCACACATTGATTTTTAATAGTTTTTACATCTTTTCAAAATAGGCCTATTTTTTATTAGTTATATATTTACATTATGTATGGCATTATAATACTTGTGCGCTCAATACGAATTTTGTAATTCATGATTGAAAGTCGAGGACGAATTATTATAAATAGCAATGTTCGCTATATCGATCTTATAATATTAGGGGCGAGATTGCAAGGGGCTAGTTTGCTAGGGGGTGAGTTGACTGGCATCCGATCCTAGTAGTACAGTGCTGATTAAATTTTGTATCCATATTTTTCATAATTGTTTATTAAAAAAAGTAATTTTAATATTTCCTGTTTCAATAATTTTATGACATATTTTATCAATTGTTGTATTTAATATATGTGTAGATAGGCCTAGATGCCAAATCAAATGAAATCAAATCAATCAATAAAAAGTTGTACTTTTTGTAAAGTTGCTATTTTGTATTTTCTTGTGCCTTTGGAAGAAAATAAATGTTTTGTTGAATTGAATTGAATATGCCAAGTGTTAATTAGGTACTGAATACTTAATTGAGTACATGAAGCATAAATGAAAAGGAAGAACATACATTGGAGTACATATAAAAAAAATACCTAAAAAAAAACAACTAGGAAACATTATTGGAATCAACTAAATCAAAATGTAATACCAACACTGTGCGAATGTTCATTGGTGACGCCATTGGGGGTGGAAGGGGGGTTGTTCCCTAACGCCGAACAGGCCTAGATCCCCCCCCCCCCCATCGGGTTGTCGGATCAAGAATTAAAAAAAAAACAAACAATAAGTTGCCTATCCAAACAATGTTATTTTGATTGCCAATCATAATAGTTTGTTCTAAAAGCACAATTTGAACCATACTAAGCCATAAAAACTCTCGCCATGACTACAGGGATTTTTTACTCCTGGACCCTGACCGAGGCTCTAGTCGGCCTCTTGATTTGGACCCCTCCGTCGGACATATCGGACCCCTTGTAGGCAAATTTCTGGAGCCACCGCGGTGAGATGTAATACATTTATTTACTATCACAGGAAATAATTAATGTAGGCCTACGGTGGTGAATGTTTGGACACACTCTCAAAAAGGCTCTACTGCGACTGCGAAATAGATCATTAACTCCTATTACTATTTCATCAAAGAAGCAAACATGGTAAATTATAAATAGGACTATCACAACATTCCATAGGAACAAACAGACGAACGTATATAAACAAGCTCAAGAATGGAGATCTAGAATGAATCAGGCAACTGGCCTAAAGGGCATAGTGGGGCTGTGTCAAACATTGTTAGCAGAGCAGCTTAGGCGGCGGAGAAGGCCGGAATATTAGCTTGGAGGTAACGCAAAGAGAAAAGATTTAAAGAAAATCGTCATAATCCTCATTATCACATTTAGCTGCAAGCCCTGTTAGTGCGTTTCTAGCGTCCAGCTATAGGCCACCAAGATAATTGAAATTATCCATCCCATTAATATAATATAAATGTTGGTATTAATAATGTCAGGCGCGGATCCAGCGGGTGGGGGGCCATGAGTGCCCGTGTCCCCTCGTCGGTCAAGCCGAAAAATAAAAAGAGGGAGAAAAATTTGGGTTAATGAGAGGAAATGGGGAAAAGGTAGTGCACCCATGAGTTCAATGGCGATCCAGCAGTGGGAGAAAGGACAGTTCATTTCATTTCATTACCACTAATTTACACCAACCATGAGGTGGGCGTGGCAGCTTGAACTTCACATTGTGCCCCCACCCCTCCCTTGTCAGAAAATCTCTGGATCCGTCCCTGAATGTATTTGTTACAAATAATATATCATTGCTAAACTGGATTAAGATATTACAATCATAATGGTGAGAGCAGCTTAGCTCAGTCGGCTAATCTGGTGGTAGCCACTGTGTGTGCGCTGAACCGTGGAGATCTCTAGGTCCCCGGTTCAATTCCCATCGCTGCCTCTCCTTGTGCTTCAGCTAGAGGGCTGAAATACAAGTTACATAGCGCACCGTCCTTCGGATGAGACGCTTAAGCCGTTGGTCCCGTGTGTATTTATGGCCCATGTGCATGTTAAAGAACACAGTACACTCTTCGGAAAAGAGTATGGGATTGTCTCCCGGTGTGCTGTCCAATCACCACCAGAAGGACCCCATTGGAAATAAGTCTTCTTCTATAGACTTTCGTGGGCTATCCTTGGTGTTTACACCGAATAAATCAAATACAATCCAATCCAATGGTAACTCAAAATATAACATGAAGCGGTATTATATTATATTATATTATATTGTAGGCCTAAAGAAATGATAAGGAAAGGGATAACATTAGTAGTTATTTTTCAACATTTTTATTGGTGGGTAATTTTGGGTCGAAACACTAAGTCACTATTAACCAATCATTCAATCGATCAATCAATCAATCTATCAATCAATCAATTAGTCAGTCAGTCTGAGCAGTCAGTCAGAGCTGTCAGTCAGTATTTCAGTTGGTCAGTCAGTCAATCAATCTTATTAATCATTCAATCGATCCATCAATTAATCAACCAATCATTCAATAAAGTGTTAAGCAAACTAATTAATCAATAATCATTCAAGTAATCAATCAATCAATCAATCAATCAATCAATGAATCAATAAATCAATAAATCAATGAATCAATGAATCAATGAATCAATGAATCAATGAATGAATGAATCAATCAATCAATCAATCAATCAATCAATCTATCTATCTATCTATCTATCTATCTATCTATCTATCTATCAATCAATCAATCAATCAATCAATCAATCAATCAAGTAAAGCAGGCAATTGTTGTAGCCAAGAAAACGCCTACATCTCCAGCCTAGAAGTGACCACAATCTGCTCTTCGAAGTCATAACAGACTAGTAACCAATCAGCGACAAGCTTGCTAGCGAATATCTCTCACCATTTGACGTCAGCTGTCGGTGACAATAAATAAATACATCGTCATTAGTGGCTGTCGACAAATCGAACATTTTGCCAGCAAGAGAGCGCCGCACACAGAGATGACGTTGTCAGTCATCTGTGATATTGGTTAACAATCGCAAAACTTTTCGTCAATAGGCAAACCCACCTCTGGAGAAGAGGCACAGTAGGTCTGTTGACCAGACGAAGGCAACTGAATTTTAAGGCGCTTTACCGTTTTCTGGACATCTTAGATGGGTTGTTGATCAGCTCTGGAGCCATAAAACGGAGATAGCTGTAGAAGGCATCAATTATTGGTAGTTTAGAGTTTCTCAATCGCCGTTCAATTGCATGTAAGTTTTTTCTTTTGTTATTTTCACAAAATAAATAAATAAATAAAGTTGAGCCTATATTTCATATAGGCCTAATGGATAAAGTATTACACAATTAATTCAGGAAATTATTAGTTCAAAAAGCTATTATTATATATTTTATTCATTTACAATAACAGTGTCATACATGTATACTTATTGTGCCTGTAGTTGAACATACCTTTTTGTTGGAAGTGATTATCAAATAAAGTGAGTTGAATTGAATTGTATTAATGCTGTACTTGATGTCATTACGTTATTTTATCCAATAATTTGTTTGCTTAACCCAACGTTACCTGACTGACATTGCTAGGCCTATTAATTGCATTACAATAATTCTATATACAGAGTATTTTGGTAACCTCACCCTAATTAGATTTCTATTCTCCGTAAAATAACAATTTATGTTAATTTACATGTTTTGTCGTTAAATGAATCCGCAAATAATAATAAACACGCATACAGATATGCAATTTCACTATTATTTTTGTTTTATAAAATAAAATATGCGCACAATTTAAATAATATAGGCTTAATAGGCCTACTGTTTCATTTCGTCAGGCGTTACTGTATTAAATATTTGTACGATAAACAAGAAAACATGCCTGTATGCATATGGGTATGTTTTCATATTATGTTATAAATACGTATGTTTGTACATACCGGTATGTAGACACAGTACAGTAGACGCTTATTTTAGTATAGGCCTATATTCATAAGCCTATACGTTTAGAACATGCTGGAACGTTCACACACTGTATCCTTTCGTATTATATGTTGACAATGTTTAACATACGGGCATTACCGTATAAAATTACTTCAAGGGATCTACCGTACATATTTAATAGGTGTATTAAGCAGAATTGTATAATGAATTTGTTTAATATAATTATTAGTATTAATTTAACACGCGGCATGCCGGTACGTAGCGATAAGCAAACATAATATTGCCTCATATTAAGCAATAAACGTAATTGTTTTATTACACTGAGAATACAGTCATTATTTTATGTTTAACGATGTCTCTAAGTACATATACTGCTAACTGCATGTTAAGTTTTAGGACCGGTAAAATAAAGTTAGCCGTCAGCAGGCACAGAAACAAGAATTGTTAGTACTGTACTAAGGTTTCGTGTGCACCTGTTCACTCACTCTACGTGATACAGCTAGGCGCATACCTGTATCGTGTTGAGAACGGAGGAAGATGTATCCTAGAATAATTTCCTCATAATAAAGCCTCTAGATATGTAGCCTCATGCCCATTCGTCCATCCATTTATCTTTCTTTCTCTCTGTCCATCCATCTATTCGCTTCTTCCACCCACCCACAAACACACACCCACACACACACACACGCACACACACACACACACACGTGCACTTTTCTTTGAAGGGCTGTGCTCGATACGATGTAACAATGTATAATCTTACTCAACACTCTTTGTCCATCTATTTGTATATATATATATATATATATAAGTATATATAACTATATATATATATATATAATATATATGTATAGCATATATATATATAGGCCTATATAGGCTTTTACAGAAGGGAGACTTCAAAAAGGCCTTTAAAACGGAATTTGTTCCGAAACCAGATCTACTTAAACTGTCCTTGTTTACTGCTTTTATTGCCTGGCATTTGATACAGAATTACAAGAGCAATAAAAATTCTGTATTCTATATGATGTATAATTATAGGCCTATAAGCTTATGTATACTTATATATAGGCCTAGGCCTATATAATTTGTAAACAGTAAAGACGAATCTGCGAATGTGAAATTACAGATTCAAGACTTCTGGATACGCCACTGCCATAGAGGCCTGGATTATCTGTCGTTTTCTGCTGTCTCATAAAAGGACTTCCTAACAATCTTAGCATTAAATTTGTATATAAACACCGTTATAGGCAATCCGTTCATATTTTGTACTAAGGCAAATCGCAGTAATCGCTGGAGGTTTTAATTGTAATAATATGGTTAGTTCAGCTAGTAAATTAGCTACTGGCCTAATTTGCAATTATTCAATTACATATATTCAATACTTTCCAAATTTCGATGTAAAGTTGTTAATTAAATAAAATGCAATATTGTAGTAAAGCCCGGAGGAACGACGGACGGTATCCTTACGTTGGTTATATTTTTAAGTTCAGTGTGCGACGCCATGGTTGGATTGGAGATGGAAAAATGGCTTGGGAAAAGAAAATATTTGGGATTGGGGTTACAGATACTGTGATGCGCAATGGTTTGGCACAGTGGTGGCGCCAGCGGGGGGGGGGGAGGGGCGGAGTAGGAGGGGTAGGAGTAGGAGGGAGGGCATTTTCCCCCCGTCGGACAGGCCTGGACCCCCTGTAGTCCGACGAACGAGTAGGTCGTCGGAACGAAAATTTAAAACAAATATAATTTGCCTATTCATATAACGTTATTTTGACTGCCAATCCTTAATATGTGGCCTAAAAGCACATTTTGGACCATTCTAAGCCATAAAAACTCTTCCCGTGAACCCTATCAAATGATTTTTTATTCCAGGCCGTCGACCGATGCTTCGTCGGCCCTTTGGTTCGGACCCTTCCGTCGGACACGTCGGACCTCTCGTCGGAAAATTTATGTCGCACCGCTGTTTGGGAGGGGGCGTCCAAAAACAGTTGGATTAAATGAGGGTGCTAATGACCCTGGAGGGATTCGGGGACTATTTTAGAGACAGGAAGTACATAACGTTTTATTTGTTATTCAAATGGATAGATCGTGAACCTAATTTTGATTGCTGATAATACGTGTATTAAATTTTCTGGAGGTGGGAGGGGGAGAAAAATTAATTACCCCATTCCCCCACCTCCCCGTGGCACTAACACTGATTTTAAGTCAATGTGGGCTTCTAACCTACTTTTGGTGACAAATTATTGTTGTATATTTTATTTCTGTTCGATTTATAATCGACACTCTAAGCCTCAGAAGAATTAAGTGCTTTACTCTACCAGTACAAAATGTCCATTCTCATTATTAAATTTTGAAATGTAGCCTATTTGTGTTATTTTTATTATTGTTGTTATTATTTATGGAAAATTATTACTATTCTCCTGATAACGGTCAGAGCAATTTTTACCGAAACGTCGAGACAACCAACCAGTAGTTTTACTCCAAAAACCATATTGTTACACTTGGTGTACTGAAAGTTTAATGATTTAGTTATTGATACTCGCTATGCAGACATTCAAGAAACATTTTAATATTACTATTAATAATAATAAATGTAGTTCATAAATATTATTCATTAAAAATACTATTAAAATATTAATAAAATAATTATACTAATTATAGTAAATTTCGGTATATATAGTGACTATAAATCGTAAGACTGAGTGACAACAGCACCAATGTGGAATATAATAAAGATGGAAAACATCTCGTTCAATAAGAATCGATTTTCGCAAGGGAAAGCAGGAATACGGCGCCTTCTAATCTACTTTTAATGTAATTTAGTCAAGAAATCCATCCCACTCACAGGCAACGTACGAAAGCACATTAGTGCTATAATTGACGAATCACTAACGCTAAATAGAGAGACAATTAGAGAAAATTACTTAAATTTCTTCTTTAGTCTTTAAAAATAATTTATTTGTTTACAAGTATACACGATTCATACGGTATGATTCTTATTATTTCAACCTTCAGAATTGTAGAGGTTATAATGCTATTAATGGTAAATTATAATGCGCCGATAAAAAAAAAATCTAAGACGCAGTTAGGGCCTAACTATGAAAGTCTGTTATAAAAATTGGGGTTTTTTTTACTTAACTTTAAAAGATGTTAATGACTTTTTTAAAAGAAAAGACTGGGGACTTCATTCCAAAGGGATGGGACAGAGAATGAGTGAAATATACGAACGTCATACCCGCTAATGCTTTGTGGTGAATTATGGTACAACAATTTATTTTCCTTTCTTAATTCATGTCTCTATTGTTATTTTTTAAAAATTTATTTCTCCCATACCCTGGGCGACCTGATTTTTTTTAAAATGTATTTCTCCCATACCCTGGGCGACCTGATCAATGCAAGAGCATCATTATCCTCCAGGGCCCAGCAAATACAATCAAATGACAAAATCGAGAGAAAAGTACAAAGACAGTCAATAAAGGCTATCGAAATTTAAAATGTTAAAAGGATAAATTTAACAACATGTTTATGTTATATACCGTTATTGAATAAACGTTACATGAATTGATATTAATACAATCTGCAGGATTCGTAGCGTAACTTTGGTCTATTGATTTGTCTGTATTTTAGACGAACGGTAAGTACGGTCTTGCAAGATGATACATTGACAGTAACATGTTAAGGCATAGATAATTGTAAAATGGATGTATATGGTACTATTGTGCCGTTAATGAATTAGCTTCTCTGTCTATTTAATTGCCCTCGAGGAAGATAAGCATCAAATGTTATAGGGCCCAATAATAGTTTGAAGAACAGTTAGGCCTATTCAATGGCGAATTCAGGGGGGGGGGGGCAGCCGGCAAGCCACCTCCCCACCCCTAAATTTGTCAAAATTTTAAATAAATTGAGAAAAAAAAAAGATTCTACTCAAATGTTGAGTCGAATGCCATTTCCGGCCATTTAGAGGTGCCATAGTCACCTCACCCCCAATCATGGTGGGGATGAGGTGGTATAGACCCTCCATCTATGAGAAGTCCCTCTTTGGGCCCCAGCCCCTATTTCAAATTCCTGGATCCGCCACTGACTATTTTTTCCACATCTCTGGGTGTGTAGGCTTATAAACTATATCCATTAGGTCTTGGAATTTTAAAATTTAAATTATATAGTTCCTATGTATATTTTTTTAACAAAGAGCCTATATTCTAGTCATATTTTAAAGCTGAAGTTAATTTTTTAACCAAAGATATACTGCCAGAGAGAAACTAATTATCGGTAACTCTGCCCTAATCAACGCTTGCGTAAGGAATATGCCTACAATAAA